CTGGGGTTTCATAAGCCCTGCAGGGGACCCCGTGTCACTTGCACCTTGAATGGGTTCCAGGGATGATGATCCTCTTGGCACAGGAGGGAGGAGGCCAGAGCCTGCACGCTAATCACCAGCAGTTCTCTCTTTACAGACTTTCTGTCATATGCATATTATTTTCTGACTGTTCCGAAATGAAAAAAGGCCAGAAAAATTGCCTTAGGGAGCTGAGGAAATTCTCGTTTATTTTATAAAAATCTGGTAATACTAATGCCAACATTATTTTAACAGCAAGAAACTATTATATATTGAATGTCTATAATGTGCTAAGCAATATATATATGTAACAAAATTATATATATGTGTATATATATAATACACATAATATATATAATCTTATATAACTATATATAATATAAACACACATACATACAATTTTGTTGTTGTTAAAACTTACACCACCCTATGAATTAGTTACTATTATTCCCCATTTTACAGATACGGAAACAAGGCTTAGAGAAGTTATGAGAAATCCTCAGGCTCATCCAGTTAAAAGTGCTCCGGTGGCATGGACCTCCCAGGTCTTTCCAAGGCCATGATGCCTGTGCTCTTATAGGTCAGGGTTAGTACTACTACGTCCAACACTGAAAGTTTACTCTGTGCCAGGCATTCCCTTAAGTGCATGACATACTTCTTCAATTGTTACAACTATTATTATTTCCATTTGACAAATGAGAAGACAGAGGCTCAAAAAAATTAAATAACTTTCCCAAGGACACAAGCTGGTAAACTGTGAAACCAGGATTTGAACTCAAGAAGTCTGGCTCCAAATGCATGCTCCTCGCCTTGGGGAAAGCCTCCCAGTGCGTGGAGGATGGAGACAGAGGTTAATGCTGCCGCTGCAGGAATGAGCGAGGCGGAGGGCATCTGTGGCTAGGCCCGTCCTGCATCCCATTTGCTGTCTTTCCTTTCCTGTGCTTCCTGCTCGCACCTGCTGCCCCCCCCCCCCACCGCCCGGCCCCAGTGCTTGTGGCCTATAAGTCAGGCACATGTGGAGACACCGTGCCCCCGAACAGGCTCTGGTGCCCAGCTGTTGTGGATGACATTCTCATCACAGACTGGAGCCTCCTTCTGTGGCCTGTCTCCAGACCTCAGGGCCCCGAATCAAGGCAGCCCAGCCATGAGATGGGAGAGTGCAAGGCCTCTTCTAGCAATAGGAATTGCCTTGGAGGCCCAACTACCCCCCATTGTGATTTTGATCAGAAGCCTGGCCTTGTGTGTGTGAGGAAGTTGGGATCTTGACCCTCAGGACAAACTAAAAATAGCTTAAACAATTAGAGAACACTTTCTGGGATACATACAACTTTTTCTATACACACACCAGCTGGAGCGGAGTGGGTAAAAAATGGCATTGGGGAGACGGGGTTGACACAGAAACCTGAGACACAGGGAGCCAACAAACTTCCCCCAGGTCTGAATTCACCTCTAATTTCATAGCCAGGATCCTGAGGATGGCCCTAGGCCCTTCTGTTGTCTAAGTTTGCATCCCCAGAATCCCCTCACACTGCTACTGATGAGGACTGGCTACAGTGCTTCCTCCTCAGATGGAAAATCTGAATTTCCTATCACACAACAGGCATCTTGGTGAGGAGGGGATGAGCTTTACTTCTGGCCACAGCCAGGGCAACACTACTCCAGAGGTCAGTTAGTATGAGTAATTATAAGAATCTGTGAATTGGAGATGGCTGTGTTACTTCTACTGTAAACTCGAGGGCTTACACATATCAAATTGTTGGGAGGGAATGGGAGTGGGCGGGGCAAGTGCAATGCTATGGCCACTGGGGGTTGAAAATCGTTCGGAAGGTCACCCTCATTAACTTGCCACCCACCTGTCAGAAAAGGAAGACAGAAGCCAAGGGGAGAGGTCACAGAGTGGTGGCAGGCAGTGATGGAGCCCAAGTGATCTTCTTCTAAGCCCAATGCTAAGCTCCTTGAGGAGCAAGAACTGTGTCTGCCTATCACTGTACCCCCAGTGTGCGTGAGAGCTCCTAGCATGAAATCGGCCCTTAAGAAACATTGGACGAAATGAATTACTGACCCCTGCTACGACAGGGATGAACCCCAAAAACATGATGCCAACCGAAAGAAACTAGTCGCAAAGGACTGCATGTTGGATGAATTTATTTTAAAGATCTAGAACAGGCACGTTTATAGAGACAGGAAGCAGATTAGTGGTTGCCCAGGGCTAGGGACGAGGGAGGGACTGAGGAGTGATGGCTAAGGGGTGCAGGATCTCTTCTGGGGATGATTAAAATGTTCTAAAATTGACTGCGGTGATGAATCCAAATATCCTCTGTGAACATACTAAGAGGCATCGAATTTTATACTCTAAGTGGGTGAATGACATGGTATGTGAATTGTATCCCCAGAAGCTGTGAAAAAGTTGTGATGAACTGGGTGCCTGGGTGGCTCAGTGGGTTAAGCCTCTGCCTTCGGCTCAGGTCATGGTCTCAGGTCCTGGGATCGAGCCCCGCATCGGGCTCTCTGCTCGGCGGGGAGCCTGCTTCCTCCTCTATCTCTGCTGCCTCTCTGCCTACTTGTGATCTCTGTCAAATAAATAAATAAAATCTTTTTAAAAAAATTGTGATGACTATATAAATGAATGGGCAAATGAATATAGGATACAGTTGCTGACTTTTGTTCTTAGAGTTACTTAGAACTATGGACTACTAGAACCATGTAAAATTCCTGATAAGGGAGATCACTCCTATGTGCATTTGGTCAGAAGACACCTATGGAATGTGTAGCGTGTGTCTGGGTACTAGGTGCTCTGCTGAGCGACAGGGGTCCCACAGCAGCCAAGACTGGCAGAGACCCCGCCTGCCCCCATGGAGTGCACACAAATGAACTCTTCCTTTTCTCCTTTTGTCTAGGAATTTTTTAGTTAGAGATCATGGTTGATTTTTATCATTTAGTGATGTGGAAATCATAGTACAATCTTTAAGAGTACTGAGTTTCCTCCCCAAAATTTTGGGGCTGAATCTTCTTTAAAATAATCTGACCCCCAAGGGGAGCTATCATTGGAATTCGGAAGGTAACTCTACTTGGCTGTTTTTACTTACTTATTTATTTTTAAAAGACTTTATTTATTTATTTGACAGAGAGAGAGAGAGAGAGAGAGAGATCACAAGCCGGGGGGAGGAGCAGGAAGGGGGAGAAGCAGACTCCCCGCTGAGCAAGGAGCCCGATGTGGGACTCCATCCCTGGACCCTGAGATCATGACCTGGCTGCCTTTAAATTGCAAGAGATAATCTCCCACATTTTATATTCAACTATGGGGAAAAAAATCTAAATCTCCTTTGGCTGGCAGGCAAGTTAAAATGATAAAAGCTGAACTGCAGATTTGGCCAGTGGCCGACTGGCCCCAGAAGAATAAGTACCCACAGAACAATGAGGAGAAGATTTGGGGGCGCATGATCACAAAACATGTTTTGCATGTGACCAGCAAAATCAGCCCATGAGCCGTGAACTGCAGAACAGCCTGCCCCAGTGGGAGGCTGGTGCCCGTTGCTGGTGGCAGAGGACTAGCTGGTGGAGGAGCTGGTTGGCTCATTTTAGAAGGACTAGGATGGTTCTTGGGGTAGAGCAGCCAATGCAGTTGTGGTTTCGCTGGGTCGAACTACCACACAGAAATGAGCAGCCATATGAGCAGGTATGAGCATGAGGAGGTTAAGAGCAAAGTCTCTGGATGCAGGCAGCCTTGGGTTCAAGTCATGCCTCTGCTACTTCCAAGCTTTCAGTAAATTCAGGCCACCTCTTCAAGCCTCTGCTTCCTATTTTTTTTTTTTTAATCGAGTTACATCAGTTTCCTCTTCAGTAAAAAAGGAAGGTAACAGTTCTTGTAAGGATCGAGTGAGATAACTAACATAAATGAATTTAAATGAGACAATGAAGGTAAATGCATACATTATGATTTAGGTAAGATGGGCATTTCAGAAACTATTATGAAGGCTTTACTTTTTTAGAGCAGTTTTCGGTTCATGGCAAGGTGGAGGGGAAGGTGCAGAGATTTCCCGTAGGCTCGCCGCTCCCACCACAGCCTCCTCCGCTGTCAACATCCCGCACTGCGCCCGAGTGCGATGTTGCACAACTGAAGAGGCTACACAGACACGTCGTTATCACCCGAAGTCCATACTTTACATTACCCTTTGCTCCTGCTGTTGTATGTTCTATAGCTTTGGACAAAGGTATAATAGGGACGGGTATCCATCACGTATAGTACAATATCGAGTGTTTTCCTAAACATCCTCTTTTATGGCAATTTTAGACAACACAATTTTTGAAATCCTTCCGTCACCTTAGCTCAAATTCCGTGTTAAGGAAAAGTTAACGAAGGCAAAGTCCAAAGACTTCACTTGGTTAAAAAAATGAATGACTGTGAAGCCAAACGCAGAAATTAGGGGGTTCTAAACTATTTCTGCCAAGTCTTCCTGGTTCTGGACAAATCTTAAAAATCTTTTAGCAGAAATAATACAATTTACCTTTCCGTCACATGGGCTTTATCACCTTCGTGCCTTTCCAGTCTCCAACCTCAAGCCTCTCCACTGGTCGCTGCCAACTCTTGCCCCTTCTCTTCTCAGAATATCCTCTAGAGGTTTCTCTCTCTCTCTCTGTGTGTGTGTGTGTGTGTGTGTGTGTGTGTGTCTCTCTCTCTCTCTCTGTGTGTGTCTGTGTCTGTGTTTGCGTCTTCATCTCGCCACCCCTCAACTCTATCTGCAGACCCGAAGTCTCCCCACAGAAACCACAAAGGATCATTTGGTTTCCCTTTGGCAACGGCAGAAAGGGAGTATTACGTTTTGGGGCAAATCCCAAATAGACCCCTGACAAATGCCAGTTTCTCCCTAATGGTTTTTTAGTCTACCTAATGGTTTTTTTGGTTGTTTGTATACATTTCAGGTTTCTCTATGAAGCCCTGGTGCACAGAGGGCTGAGCTGGCTTCTAGAGCCCAGGGACGTACCTGGCCGCTTTCTGAGTGAGCTCCAGTGGGAAATCCGGGCACAGCAGTTGCAGCAAACAGTGATACTCTCTCATGGTCAGCAAATCTGAAGTTGAAATGGAGAGGAACACGTTAGGTGTCTGTGTGGGAAGGCATTGGTCTCTCTTTGGCCCATTCCCGGTTTCAGACCTCATTGCGGTAGAGCTCCTCTTACAAAGGTGAGTCAGTGTTGGGGGTGCACTAGCCACCAACCTCCAGCGGTGAGATTTTTAAGTTCACTGTTTCTACAAAGGCCTTCCTGGGTGGAAAGTACCCAGCTACAACACTTTGGCTAAAGAAGTTTCACTGGTTTGAAAAATGGTGGGGCGAAAAGGGAACAAGAGGAGTACCTTGATCAGCCTTCTTAGTTTGGTTTTCCTTGTGTATGAAAACCCACAAGAATGAGCCGTTTCAAAGCTGGTTAAATCTGCTGAAAGTCTCTGGCATGGTAACGTTCACCACAACATGCCCAAAGACCATCCACAGAATATCTGGAAGCACTAGTAAGGCACTCAGTCTTGGAATATATGGAGAAGAATACATCATAGCAACCCACAGGCCTTATTACTCTGTCATCCAGGATTGCACACAATCTGGTCATCCTGTTATAAAAAGCCAAGACAAATGCTCAAGATACACGATCAAGGAAACCAAATGGTTCCTGATATACAGAAGCAGTGCTCTGGGGGAGATGAGCCAGAATGAGGCTCTGTTAGCCCATCAGAAAACCCAGAGAGGTAAATCTCGGGATCCCAAGGGAGAGGACATACACCAGTGTGTAAAGGTTGTTTTGCTACTGCATGGACCAAAGCCAAAGGTTTTAGATCAGTCAGGCGGTGGCAATCCACCAGTACTCTGTACACCAAAGCATTTCACATATGGGAGGACAAGCTAATGGTAAAGCAGGAGCAAGCAACCTGGAAGCCATCCTAACTGGGAGAATGAGTGAGAAAAGGGAATCCAGAGGCCATGGCCACATTTGGGGAATGAAGATGATGATCATAGGCACTTGGTTTCTTTGGACCTAAGTTAGCCCAAGCCACAGGAATCCAGATCTCCTGCCCTGCTAGTTTGGTTGATGCTTTTCCAAGATAAAAACCCCAAGTCTCCAGGGAGAGGCCTGGGCTCCTACTACTTTTTCATCAAAGCTCAATTCAAGGTGGGGGCAGAGAGTTAGACTAACCACACTGCCAGAGTCAGGGACACCAAAGCAACAGACTCAGCGTCAATGTAGGTCAAAGGATCAAGATGGCTTTTGTGGCCTTCGTCTTGGCCACAATGGGGTGTGCACTTTCCTCTCCTAACTCGTCTGACCTCGGGCACAGCCTAGTTGGAGGTTTTGTTCTTCAAGGGATGGAGGAAGAGCCCCTCGTGGTCTCAGAGATTTGAGGTAAGGTGCGGGAAAGGTGAAGGCAGGGGAGAAAAGCTATTGAGTCTAATGGGTTCCCATGTTATTCTCACTCCAGAACTCCCCGTATAAAAAGGAGGGATTTCTTGCAGGAAGTAAATCCAGGAATACCTTGGAGACACTGTGGGTTTGGTTCAGATCCCCTCAATAAACCAATATCTCAATAAAGTGAATCAAATGAATTTTTTAGTTTTCCAGTGTATGTAAAAGTTAGGGTTACACTAAACTGTAATCTATTGAGTGTGCAATAGCATTATGTATAAAAATAGTACACACCTTAACTTAGAAATATTTTATTGCTAAAAAATGCTAATCATCGGGGCGCCTGGGTGGCTCAGTAGGTTAAAGCCTCTGCCTTCAGCTCAGGTCATGATCCCAGGGTCCTGGGATCAAGCCCCACATCGAGGGCTCTTTGCTCAGCGGGGAGCCTGCTTCCCCCTCTCTCTCTGCCTGCCTCTCTGCTTACTTGTGATCTCTCTCTGACAAATAAATAAATAAAATCTTAAAAAAATGCTAATCATCATCTGAGCTTCCAGCAAGTTGTAATCACTGATCACAGATCAGCATAATGTTAATGAAAAGGTTTGAAATATTTCAAGAATTACCAAAACATGGCCCAGAGACTCGAAGTGAGCAATTGGTGTTGGAAAAATGGCACTGATCAACTTGCTCAATGCAGGATTGCCATCAACCTTCAATGTGTAAAAAATGCAATGTCGGCAAAGCACAAAGCTGCCTGCAAAGGAAGGTTCTATCTTTGAATCATCATTGCTTTCCTAGGCTAAGCTTTGGTGGACGTATCTAACATCATTTTGGGGGGTCCAAGTGTTTCACAGAAATCCACATTTGTCCCCCCAAATTACCTACAGGATATCCTTGGGAAGATAAACCAGGTAAAGGAAAATGAGAAGTCCAGAGAACTGTGTAACTCTCATATTAGTCAAGAAAAGACAAGGCTGGGCATCAGTTTCAGCCTCCTGGTTTCCAGACCCTCAGCTTTCTTTAGGATTTTTTTTTTTTAAGTTTTTTAATTTATTTGACAGACAGAGATCACAAGCAGGCAGAGAGGCAGGCAGAGAGAGGAGGAAGCAGGCTCCCCAATGAGCAGAGAGCCCCATGAGGGGCTTGATACCAGCATCCTGGGATCATGACCTGAGCTGAAGGCAGAGGCTTTAACCCACTGAGCCACCCAGGCGCCCCAAGGATCTTGATGGTATAACTCATGTAGTTCAAATACTTGCTTCCAAGGATAGAAGAAAAACATAAAAATCATTCTGTATTTCTCTAGGGCAACAACACATCTTAGAAATACGAAATACATCAGAATAACAGAACATACCACGTTCACCACTTCTAGAACTTGACTTTCCTAAATGTAAAATGAGGAAGATAGTCAGATAAAGAAATGAATGAAAGTCCAGGCAAATGGAGAACTTCTGTCACCTTGATTGTGAAAAACAGTTGTTTTTTTTTTTAGATTTTATTTATTCATTTGACAGATAGAGATCACACGTAGGCAGAGAGAGAGGAGGAAGCAGGCTCCCTGCTGAGCAGAGAGCCCAACATGGGGCTTGATCCCAGGACCCTGAGATCATGACCTGAGCCAAAGGCATACACTTAAGTGACTGAGCCACCCAGGTGTCCCAAAGACAGCAGTTCTACTTCTATTAATGTAATGGCTGGATAATATCAAGGCCACTTGATTTTAAGGGAGAGACATCTGCTACTTGGAGACACTCCTCAGTTGTGTAGTGGGTAATGGGGGGCATGGTGAGTGGTAAGTCTTGTTCTAAAATCAGAACATTGACGAGCAAATAGAAGTTGTCCCCATCTTGTCCCGCAGGCTAGGGTGCAAATCTCAGCTCTGCAATTTACTCGTTATGCAACCTTGGGCAAATTGCTCAATCTCTCTAAATCTCAGTTTCTCATCTGTAAAATGGGAATGATGATGCTTACCTTTCAGGTTTGAAATCAAGATTAAAAGAGATGATGTCTATAAAGTAGTCAGCAGATTGTCTAGAACATAGTAACATGAAACAATGGGAGATATTTTAGTTTTGTTTTTAAATCCCGGGGGCAAAGATAGGAGAGAAGATGAGGAAGGTGCTCCTTTCTGAGTTTAAATGCTTAAACACCCAGGAGTGGCTTGCCTTGAGAATTCTGTTAGGTCGCTTGAACGAAATCTGTTTTTATCAAATTTTTATTTTTATTTTTTAAAGATTTTTTAACTTATTCATTTGAGAGAGAGAGCACGCGCACCAGAAGGGGAAGGGTCAGAGGGAGAGGGCAGACTCCCCACAGAGCAGGGAGCCCAATGCAGGGTTCCATCCCAGGATCCCAGGACCATGACCCAAACCAAAGGCAGATGCCCAACGGACTGAGCCACCCAGGCGCCCCTGAACCAAATCTGTTTTTAATACTCTTTTGCAGTAGTCATTTGTTTACTATCACCATGGGCCTCCTCGGCTCCAGCCACTGTGTCATAGCAATGAACAAGCCAGCAGTCTCCCCACCTCCTGAGCTTACACTCAGACCCTAGTTAACCCTAAATGCTCACTTTGGGCCCTCTAAGAGCTCTTCAAGATCTCAAAGGCCCTTTCAGGCAAGGCTTTGTGCCTCAGGAAAAACGGTAATGAGACTGAATAGTTACTGAATTAGCTCACTTAACCTTCACAACAACCTTAGGAAGGAGACTCCATTATTCCCAGTCCCACTTCACAGATAAGGACATGGAGGCTTAGAGAGATGAAATGCAGTTGGCCCTTGAACAATGGGCCAGTGAACAATGAGCACTACCCCTAACAATGAGTTAGGGGCACCAAACCCCTGTGCAGTCAAAAATCCTTGTATAACTTTTGACTCCCCCCAAAATTTAACTACTCATAGCCTGCTGTTGATGAGAAGCCTTACTGATAACATAGTCAATTAACTTATATTTTGTATGTGTATTTTCCTATACTGTATTCTTACAATAAAGTGAGCTAGAGAAAAGAAAATATTAAGAAAATCATAAGGGGAGGGTTGCAGGGGGAAGGGGGGTAGGGAGAGGGTGGTGGGGTTATGGACATTGGGGAGGGTATGTGCTATGGTGAGTGCTGTGAAGTGTGTAAACTTGGCGATTCACAGATCTGTACCCCTGGGGCTAATAATACATTATATGTTTATAAAAAATTTTTAAAAATTATATAAAAAAAAGAAAATCATAAGGGGAAAATACATTTACGGTACTGTACTAAAAAAAAACAAATCCACGTACAAAGGGACCCATGCAGTTCAAATTCGTGTTGTTTAAGGGTCAGTTGTCTTCTATCTGGTGAGTGAGAAAAGAAGGGTCCAGAGCCTGGGGGACAGGAAGGGAACATGGCTTCTCAGAGTGGAATCCTAGGCTGGGAGGGAAAGATGGGGGTTGTGAGGGCTGGGGGGCCTTAATACCGACAGCCAGCATTTTCTGAGCACTTACCATGGGCAGACACTGTTCTTGCAAGTGTTTTCCTGTGTCGTCTCATTTAATCTTCACTATGGTTATCCCCATTTTACAGAGACAAAAACCTCAGGTCATGGATGCTTACGAGGCAGAAGTGGAATTCAAACTCAGGCAATTGGGCTCCAAAGTTTACCCAAACAACTTTTTCAGCACCTTGATCTTATCAACCTTAATG